CATCTCTGGCTCTGGGGTGGTCCTCTGTGCTGATTTTACTCACCAATGAACTTTCTCCAGCTGGTGAGACAGGAGATCTGTGACAACTCAAAGCTTAGAAGATTGTCACAGCACATTTTCCCAGAGGCACAGACAGGTCTTTCTCCTTCAGGCTATGATTCAACAAGGGACTTGATCATTCAGTGGTAGAAGTTTCATCTTCCATACTATCAGGTGTCTTGGTAACATGGTCAGGTAATCATTGGACTACTAATGATTGGACTATTCAAATTTATCAGCTGCTGCAAGGGATAAAAATGAGGCAGTCTGTTTCAGTAAAGATATACAGCAGGCTTCTTGAAGTAGGCAAGACCACTCCTAGGGGGTGCTGAAATGATCAGGGCAGGTGGGGAAGGCCTATTACAGAAGCAAATTCTTACACTTTATCCCTGGTGGCATAGTGGGTTTTACCTTAGACTGCCAACTTCCAGGTCAACAGTTTAAACCACTAGCTGCTCTGAAGGAAAAAGATGAGGCTGTCTATTTCTGTAAAGATTTAGTTTTGAAAACCAACATGGATTGTTCTTCTCTGTCTTATCAGGCCACTATGTGTCGGAATGGATTTGATGGCAGTGAGTACATTTTATCCTGACTTATGGACCATAGGACAAAAGTTTTCCACTGTTAGGTGAACCTGAGTAATTATGTTCCTGAGAATGGGGCAGTAGGCCAAATAAGTTTGGGACCTATGAGCAGCCCTGGAAACCCTATAGACAGGAACACTATGAATGAGTTATGAGTTGGAATTGACTTGACGAATGTGCCTTTAGTTTTGGTTCATACTATAGACCTGGGATCAATTCCTGGTCAACAAACCTTTAGTGCAGCCACAACCAGCCTGTCAGTGGAGGCTTGTGTTTTCCTACGGTATTCCATGGACAAAAAGATCATTTGGGCTTCATGAGAGCCAAAATAGCATCCAGACTAAGATAGACTAGGAAGAAAGGCCTGGCAATCTACTTCTGAAAACCAGCCAGCGAAAACCCTATAGAGAGTGAAGATCTGATCAGCAATTGATTGTTGGGATGGCATTGGACTAGGCAGCACTTCACTTTTATGTTCATGGTGTCATTGTGAATTCAGCATGGTTGACAGCAGCCAACAATCCTATGAAAGGGGCTCATGTACTGATAGAGCATCCTGGTCACTTGTGGCTGTTGTCACTTCTACGCTTGTCATGAGGTTGAATGCATCCCTTCCACATTCTCAGTTTTAGTCCTTTCCCCTTCAGATGAGAATCTGGGAGGAGAAATCAAGGCTTGAGCATCAGTCAAGGATAAGAATAACTAGAAAGTTACTTAGAGTTGGAGGAAGAAAGTTATTCAAGAATAGCTTTCTGCTAGGGCCTCAGAAATACCGGGTAGTGTTTCATTCTGTTGTGTGTAGTGTCACTATGGGTTGGTACTAACTCCAAGGCATTGTGGTCTAAGGGCTATGCAGAAAAACGAGGCATGGAGAGAATGGCAAGGCGGTAGGTTGTCATTTTAGATGGAATGATAAGGAAGGACTCACTGATACAGGAACTGTTCAACAAAGACCCGATGCAAATGAGGAAGTGAGCCATACAGATATCTTTCCAGGGAAGAGCTAATGCAAAGGCCCAGGGGCCAGAGTATGGCTGGTGTATTGGGGATGAATCAAGAGTTCAGGGTGGTGGAGTAGAGTGAGGGGGAAATAGGATAAGGAAATGAAATCCCACAGATAGTGAGAAACAGAAATTTCATCCAGGGACTTGGAGGCCATGGTGAGGACTTTGGTTTTTGTCCTTGTGAGATGGGAGGTCAGTGGAAGACATAGGGAAGAAGAGAGATGTGATCTGATTTATGTTTAAAGCACTCCCTTGGTGAGCTAGACCAGAGGCAGGTGAGGGCAGAAGGGGACCAGGTAGGAGACTTATCATGATTAATTATCCAGATGAGAAATGATGCTGGCATGGAATAAAGTAGTTGTGAGAAATATCTTCTTTAGAGGTAGACCCAATAGGATTTTTGGGGTAGATTGAACCCAAGATGTGTGAGAAAAAGAGAAGACAAAGAAGACCAAAGTTTTTGGGCTGAGTATGACCACGAGAGTGGAATTGCTGCTTTGTCACAGGGTAAAGTCAGTAACTGCCTGGAGTCCTGCTAAACCATGTCTGCACCTTTCCAACTGAGATTTAGCATAGTCTGTTGTTGTTTACCGAAACCAAACCCACTGACATACAGTTGATTCTGACTCACAGTGAACCCTATATAAGAGTTCTGAGGCTGTAAATATTTATAGGAAGAGATAGCTTCAACTTTCTTATTCAGAGTGGCTGGTGGATTTAAACCACAGACCTTGCAGTTAGCCATCCATGTGCCTTCAAGTCATTTCAAACTCATAGCCACCCTATATAACAGAGCAGCTAGTAGGTTCAAACTTCTTCCCTTTTGACTGCAGCCAAGTGCTTAATTAATCATTGCTTTAGTATGGCCTAAGGAGTGTAATGGTTATCGTTTGGTCTGCTAACCACAAGGTCAGCAGTTTGAAACCACCCATTGCTCCATGGGAGAAAGATAAGGCTTTCTACTCATGTAAAGATTTACAGTCTTGGAAACCCACAGGGGCCATTCTACCCTGTCCTATAGGGTCACTATGAGTCAGCATCAACTCTATGGCAGTGAGAAGTCTAGTTAGTATTTCATGTGAAAAAAAAATTTTTTAAAGTATCCTTCTTTTAAATTCTCTAAATAAGAAACACTTCCAAATGAAAGTGAAAAAAAGAGAAAAGTTATTAAAATTGCATGGTAATATATTTTGAACGCAATGAAGAATGTAATGTTGCCATTTTCACCAAGTATTTCATAGTGACTTACCGAAGTGTGAAGGTAAAACATAATACAGACAAAGTGAAAGCACCTGAGGTAACCACAACTTTTCTTCATTAGCTTCATGACTTCTGAACTTCCTAAATGCATGCGCTGTTGCCTACACCAACTTTATTCCAACCCATTAAGCTTAACTCATTCCTCCCTTCTTCCCCTCCCACCCACCCCCAAAGTAAACAGGGCAAAAGGCAAAAACATATGTGAAATTAACCTTTCTTACTTTGTACTGTCCAAACTCCAAGTTCAGTTGATTCTGACTCATACCGACCCTATCAGGACAGGGTAGGAATGTCGAAGCACTCCCTGTGGTGTCTGAGACTGGAACTCAACTGGAGCAGAAAACCTCGTCTTCTCCATTTCGCCTTTAGGGCTGTGTTAAAATGACTACACGAGAAAGCAATACAACCTATCTTCTGGGCTACAGAGTCTTAGGACCACCGGGTCTTTATTCTGGAAAGGCAGAGGAGTTGCCAAGGCTGGTGGGTGGTTTGAAGGGCTTAGTTCTGTCCCCTGGTGGCGAAGTGGGTCACTGCTTGGGCTGTTAAACACAAGATCAGCAGTTCAAAATTACCCTTCTTTCATGTCACCAAACTGTCACTCCTATGGGTTCTTGTATGTAGATATCATGAAGTTGCCATGTTCTGTTCCAATTACCAAAGGAGTTGAGTAGGAGTATGGCATAGATTTAGAGTTGGTCTTTCTTTTCTTCTTCCTTACTGAAAAATCTTACTACCAATTTTGAAAATAATGGTCAAGACTTCTAAGGCAATATTGAAAACAAACCCAAAAAAATAAAAGAGGAAAAAAACCTCAAAGCTTAATGTAAGTATGTGTTAAATGAAGGGAAATTGAATTGAGTAGGTTGCCATCTATATTTCTGACATTTGTTATTAGTCATAATCCAGATATTAATTCAGAGATAGAGAATTTTTATTTCAAAATTCAAATGCTATTCTGACTTATATATGAGAAAGGACATTTGGGTTCATTAAGTAGAACTATTGGTAATAGAAAACAAATGTAAGGAAAAACATACTCATACAAATAGAAATGTATGCAGATTATTCATTTATTCAGTAAAAAAATTTAAGTAAGTATACCAATGTCAAATTAACTGGCTCAATAAAGATAGAAAAAGATTGCTTCCAAATAGTTTCTACTTGCACTGTTTTATGTATGTATGTCATTTTAAAAATTAATGCAATACCAGTTTACTAAATAAATCTCTACTGTTCCTTGTTCTTAAATTTTTATTTCACTGTATTAGCAGAAAGATTATTGTCAGCTATTCAGAAATAAAGTTTGGGTGGATTAGGGCTTCCGTTCTGAGCACTCGGTTTCCAATGGGAACTCTAAATCAGTTTGGAGTCTCTGCATACATTCAGCTTTCACTGAGTCCTTTCTACCGACCTGTGTTTTGAAAGTGGATTTCTGCAACTCCTCTGGCAAGCATAAGAGGAAGTATTTCCACCATCAGGGACTTGCTTGGTTATGTTCATGGAAATATTGGTACTAGGGCTTGCGTGGTTATGAATCATAACCCAAAACCAGGTGGTCAGAGCGCCGTGGGACTAATCCTCTGAGCTCCTTTAATCTAGAGTAATCTACCCCAATCATGGCCTTTTCTGGTTCTGCAATCCCACCTGCAGCTGTGGTGAACTGATGATGTTGGTGTGAAATATTTCCTTTTACTTCCAAGGTTTATAATTTCATTATGTGACTGTGAATCCTCTGAACACCATGATGGCCTCATGAGGATGGCCTTCTTCATCCAGAGAATTCCTTTTTTGTCGTTGTCTTGTTTAAGACTTACTAAAGGGATAGCTGTAAAATATATTTGAATTTGGAGTCTTTTATCCCTAGAACCTGTTTGGTTTTTTTAAGAGAGTTCTGTGTATTTGTATTCTAACTCTTCTTTAGGTTATAGTGCTTTTTGTTTTGTTTAAACAGAATGTACATATGAAAGGCAAAAGAAGAAGAACAAAAGGATAAACAAGAGTCCTCAAAGTGTGATGCTAAAATGAAAACAACTCCAAATAAGACCCTTTGAAATGAGGCCTCTCACGCTCAGAGAGCACCTGATTCATCTGCTGAGGAGCACCCAATTCCATGTCACAGGATCTTCACACATCTCTCATGACTTCTCTTACTTCTTCTGTCTAGCATGGGCTGATAGATATCAGCCACCAGGCAGTATCCAGAGTGACGTGTTAGGGCTTCAATTTCAACAATTCTGTGAGCTCCTTCATAGACTTTTTGTTCCTACACACAAGGAATAAAAATCAAATAATAAATATTTTCAACAAGTTGTTAACTTGCTCTATTTTGGATACAATTAATAAGTTGAACATGGATGGTCTAGTGGTTGTACATGCCTCTTTGGTATGCTAAGCCTATGATTCCTTCTCAGACACATCCTCTTGTTCCTAAACTCGAATCTGTTGATGAGACAGGGAAAGTGACTATGTAGGCATTTGTTATCAATTAAATTGTGTCCCCCCAAATATATGCTGTCAATGATAACTTCTATAGTTATAGGGTAGTTACCGTATATATTTGAGTATAACCCGACCCAAATATCAGCCGAGGCACCTAATTTTACAACACAAACTGCATAAAAAATGTGCTGAAAAACTCGGCCTAAGGTATGTCAGAATCTACTGTATGATAGCAGGTTTGATTTTGGGTTTTAAACTTGTGGATGTCCACCACTTGTCTGTCGGCTAGCTGTACTGTGGTGATTTGTGTGTTGCTGTGATGCTGATATGTTGTGATGAGCCCTGGTGGTGCAGTGGCTACAAGCTGGGCTGGTAACTGCACAGTCTGCAGTTTAAAACCACCCGCTGCTCACTGGGAGAAAAATTGGGTTTTCTACTCTGGTAAACAGTTACAGTCTTGGAAATTGACAGGGGTAGTTCTACCCTGTCCTGTAGAGTCACTATGAGTTGGCATTGACTCAATGGCAGAGTTTGTATTTGTTTTGGGGTTTATTTAGTGATGTTGGAAGCTATGTCACTGGTATTTAAAAAAACATCAGGTAAATGGGAAGTTGTCCAAAATGAAGTGGAATGCCTAATGAGCAATATTCTAGTCATCAGTGAGCTGAAGTGAACTGCTATTGGCCAGTTTGAATCAGATAACCATATGATTTACTATGCTGACGATGAGAGAGTCAAGAGAAATGGCATTGTATTCATCATGAAAAAGACAGCTCAAGATCTATATCGATGTACCATGCTGTCTGCTAGGATAATATATATCCAAATACAAGAAAATGCAGCCAATACAACTATTATTCAAATGTAGGCACCAACCACTAAAGCTAGTGATGCAGAAACTGAAGAATTTTACCAACATCTTCAATCTGCATTTGATCAAGAAGCATTGATAAGTGTTAGGAAAGGAACAGTAGCTGGAAAGGTCTTGATGATAGAGACAAAGCTGATTATCATGGGATAGAATTTTACAATACCAATAACTTCTTCTTTGCAAACACCTTTTTTCAACAATACAAAAGGTGACTAGATACTTGGGCTTCTCCAGATGGAATACACAAAAATCAAATTGAGCATATCTGTGGGAACAGATGATGGAGAAGAGAAGCTCATTATCATCAGCTAAAATGAGGCCAGGGTTGACTGTGTAGCAGACCATTGATTGCTCAAACATAAGTTCTGATTGGAGCTAAAGAAAATTCAAACACGTCCATAAGAGCCAAAATGCAACCTTGAGATTATCCCACTGTAATTTCAAAAACATCAAGAACAGATTTGATGTACTGAACACTGATGACAGAAGACCTAATGGGTTGTGGAATCATATCAAGAACATCAGAAATGAAGTAAGCCAAAGGTCATTAAAAAGACAGGAAAGAAAGGAAAGATCAGCATGGATGGAAGAAGAAACTCTGAGGACGGAAACTCGCTCTTAATTGTAGAGTCGTTAAGTCACATGGAGGCGATGATGAAATCAAAGAGCTGAATACAAAACTTTAAAGTGCAGTTCAAGGAGACAAAGTAAGATATTAAATGAAATGGGCCAAGATCTAGAGGTAGAGAATTAAAGAGGAAGAATACGCTCAACATATCTTAAGCTGAAAAAACTCAAGAAAAACTCAAGCCTTGAGTTGAAATATTGAAATATCATATGGGAAAATACTGAATAATGTAAACAGCATCAAAAGAAGATGGAAAGAATATAGAGTCACTGTACTAAAAAGAACTAGTCAACAATCCGCCATTTCCGGAGGTAGCATGTGAGCAAGAACCAATGGTACTTAAGGAAGAAGTTCTAGCAGCATTAGCCAAAAACAAGGGTCCAGGAAACCAGGAGGGATTCTGGGTTGAATGACCCTGCTTGAACAGTAGGATGCACTCTGCAGGCTTTCTCCAGAATTGTGCTCTTCAGAACTTTAGCTCCAGGCTCGCAGGTCAACAGGCCAACCAACTTTCTGGAGAGATGACTTTAGGCTATTTACAAAGAAGGGGTGGTGGTGACTGTGAACCAAATGTAAGGGGCGCCTGAGGAACCTAGGCAGTTCCAACATGAGCCAGGTGCCTGCTGTTGCCTGGTGGGGTGAGCCCTGGGTGGGGGTGGGGCTGCTGAGTGTTTATTTCTTGTGAAGTCAAAATGCTGACCTACTCAGCCAGGTCCACTGACATGCTGATTTCCAAAGACAATGGTGCCATTGTTGACCTTTATCCACCACTGCCAGGACACAGTTGGGAGGCCTGGGGTGTGGGGTTGCCCCCACTGGGATGAGGACCATGGCTTTGTAGCCTCAGAGGTGGAGGTCCCCCTGCAGGCCCCACTTGGTTGGCCCACAACTGCCCAGGGTGTACTTGGGATGCTTATACCAAATAGGGTGTGTGTGCCGCCATCCAGTAGGGCCAGCCCTGTCCAGGCCAGCAGCTGGCACAGAAAAGCAGCAATAGGCATTAGGCAGAGAAAAGGTCTTTGGCCTCTGAAGCCTTTGGTCCACTTTCTGGGCCCTCCCAGTCTTTCAGTGAGGCCATTCAAAGTCAAGAATGTACATAAACAGGAACCACCCTTCAGTTGTTGACCACCCTGCTGACTGGGGTGGCCTCTGACTTTCCTTCCAAGGTGGGTGCTGACTGAAGCCACCACAGGATGGCGAAGTGCCGGTGCTTTTGTTACTTGACTCCAATAGGAACTTTTGTTACTTAACTGCATAACTTATTTAATGTGCTGTATAAATGAACCTAAACTGTTAAGTAGGTATTTAGTTTTTCCTACTTAAAGTATTCAATAAAAAGGCTATATTCCTTAAAAAAAATAGACCCTTAAAACCAAATACACACCCACACATGTCAATTCTGATAGCAGTACCTTATACTAAATAACATTCTATAAATGATGATGAAAGAAAGAAGAGTTAACAAAAAGAGAAGAAAAAAATAAAATGAGATAAAGTAACAACCAAGAAGAATCCTATATGATCATATATTAGTTAAACAAGATGAGGAGGGGAAAACATCACTATTTGAACTCACCTTTTCCAGTGAATTGTTAATTATAAATACTCGGTACACTAATTCATAATAATTTTCCATTGATATGTTTTTGCCTTTTTGGTTTCGGTATGGTAAGTTTGGAGCACGTAGACTCACCAACAGAGATCCATCAACTTGTGTTATATTCATGTCTGGAGGATCAATTTTTGCTGGTGAAAGGAAATTTGGACAAATTTAAAATATATAGCGATCATAGTTGGCAACATTATGCATGATGACAAATCATCATTAAATGCAGCTACTTGGAAAAACTCATATGAAAAGATATCTCTGACACCCAGCAACAAAAATTCACAAATCTAGGAGAAATTTCTCTGCAGAATATTTTATCTTTCTTGAGATTATTATTCATTGTTCCCTAGAAGAAGTCAACATTCTTAGCATAAAATTCGAATCCTTAGCCTGCTTCTTCAGTCCCACGTCTTTTTGTACTCCCGCCCCGCCCACTTCACATGCTAACGGTTGCAGTCTTTCATTGTTGTATGGAAATGTGCAACAGTTGGGTGGGTTACAACCCAAGGTTAAAAACAAAACCAAAAGCTCTCATAACTGGACCAATAGACAACATCATGATACACTGAGAAAAGATGGATGTTGTCAAGGATTTCATCATACTCATGGATTTCACAACGAATGCTCATGGAAACAGCAGTCAAGAAATTAAACAATGTAATGCCCTGGGCAAATCTGGTGCACAGGACCTCTGAAGTATTGAAGGGCAAAGATGTCCCTTTGAGGTCGAAAGTGAGTCTGCCCCAAGTCATGGTCCCTTCAATCATCTCCTATGCACATAAAAGTTGGACATGGAACAAGACCAAATAACTGATGCATTTAAATTATGGTGTTGGCGAAAAATGTTGAAGTCACTCTGGATTGCCAACGGTTCTTGTTGTTCCTGAAACAGACAAGTCTGTCTTGGAAGAAGTACAACTAGAATGCTCCTTAGAAGCAAGGCTGGTAAGACTGTGTCTATGTACTTTA